AGAGCACCTTGAAAAATGTGAGTCCATAATCTTTTGTTTATGAGAATCTCTTCATCCACAATTCATTTTTCCTCTGTTCACTATTTGCCATGATGCCAACTCGATACTAGTGCTCTCGCCGAAGAAGCTATGAGATGACTTGTGCGTCGGTTGACCTCGTAAGCTGCTAAATGATCTAGGAAGTCCTCTACCTACGATCTTGGGGTGTTTGTTGCTATAGAGGTCTGGAGAGTTGCATTGGTTTGAGTTAGGTTTGCTTGGGGACAAGCAAACGGTTAAGTGGGGGGGAGTTTGATAGACCGTTAATTACACATGTTTTCACCCCTGTTCTTACACCGTTTGAGATGTGGTTTCTCGTGTTTTAGACCGATTTCACGCTAGGTTGTGCTTGTTTGTGATATTTCAGGTCCTGGCAAGTGAATGAAGGTTTAGGAGCGAGTTCGGGGTCGATCGGGTGAAGATCGGGCACGTGGCGAGGTGCTAAGGAACACGCACGGGCACACCCACAACCCGCACGGCCGTGCAAGTGACCAGTTTGGCCGTGTTAGGTTTGATTGTATGAACCCAAGTACTGATTCTATGATTTGATTATATTCAATTGAGGTTTGAATGATTGAATGACTTGAATCCTGATCAAATTCCTGTTGTTTCTGCTTTAATCTAGAATGAGAATATCTGCCTAGGTTGATAGAGCATCCTTGATTGAAGGTAGGGAGTTGGTAACTTTAGTCGAGGAGCCAACTCACTGTTCTGTACCGGATTTACTCCGGTAGTGGAGGTTTTTTTTGTTAAGGCCTCAATCTGTTTACTCCGGTGGAGGTTAGTCGCCCGCTAGAGACTCAGATTGAGAGGGTCTGAAGACCTTTAGTCGAGACTTCAGGCTGTTTAAGAACCTTCCGTGTTATGGAACAATCCAAGTACCACATCAGAAATAAAAGGGAAGGAACCCTTGTATATTAATGTCCACCAAGCTCATTAGTACGAGGCCTTTTGGGGAGGACGCCTAAGAGTAAAAACGTGCGGGCTTGGCCCAAAGCGGACAATATCGTACTAATGGGCTACCCAGTTATGACAAGTGGTATCAGAGCCTGGTCGATCGGTTGGGAAATCGGCTAGGGATTTTGGTGACTACTGCGGTATCAGGGGGCAGTCTTCGATTTGGTTGGCGGAGAAGCCTTAGTTTTTCTTCCTCCAAATTTGGTTTGCGGTGGTTCGTGGTATTTTGTCCCAATTTGGATTTGTGCGGGGGTCGATTTGAGGAAATTTGAATTTGGTATTGGGTGGTGATTCAAATCATTCACCAGTTTGGAGTTTCATCGTTTGGTTTGTCGAGAAGAAAATTTGAAATTTGCGGCAGAGAGCTAGTTGGCGGATCAATTGGAATTTGGAAGCAATTACTTGAATTTATTGTGTTCGGTAATAGCTTGTGGTTTGGGGAGAATTCTGTTTGTTGCCCTTGGTGGTGATCAGGGTTTTCGATCACCAAGGATGTTTGTTCAGGATTTAAAGATTGAGAAGTCGATTTGGAGTTGCAGGTTTATGGAGTTGGAAGTAAATCTGATGTTGGTGTTATCGATGGAAATAACACCAAGTTGGTTATGCATGGCAAGTCCCAACATGGGTTGGACTTGCTGCATGTTTTGATTTGTTGATCGCCCTTAGGGGCATTTGGAGGCAGGGGAGATTCTGGTACAACTGATTTGGAGAAGTATGGTACGTCTGACAATTTTGATTGCATCTGAGTTTGGCGATTTGCATCGCGTTTGGTCTGGCGATATGAATCGCATTTGGATATGTCTGGCAATCTTGATTGCGTTTGAGTTTGGCGGTTTCGATCGCATTTGGATACGTCTGGCGATATGTATCGTGTCTGGGTACATCTGGCAACTTTGGTTGCGTTTGGTACATCTAGCAACTTTGGTTGCGTCTGGTACATCTGGTATTTGACAGAGAATTCAAGTCAAGGTGGAGATTGTTAGAATATGACTTGAATTTGATTGGTTTTGTTTTGTGTTTTGGGTCTATTTAGTTTGGGTTTGTGTTTGGGCTTTGTTTGACCTTTTCCTTGTATGTTTGGGAAAAGGTGTTTGGTTTCTGTTTGGGATTAGGAGAAGAGTTCTATAAATACTCTTCATCACCCTAGTCTGTAGTAGGTCAGTCAGGTTAATTTGTTTGGTTTGTCCGTTTGGAATTTGGTTTGTAACCTGTACTCTCCTCAAATTAGTGAAATTTGTTCTCCCCTGCCCGTGGATTAGCTAGCACACATTGTGCTAGTGAACCACGTTAAATTTGTGTTTGTTCGTGTTGGTTTGGATTATCGATTGCACGCTTCTGTTCTGACAAGTGGTAACAGAGCCTGGTTCGGTTTGGGGCGGTGGACGTCAGTTCGGTGGACCCTCATTCGGTGACCTCGGGATTTGAGATTCGCATCTGGTCTGGTGGATCCAGGAGAAATCCACGTTTGGGCTTGGCGGATCAAAGAGAGTTCCGCATCTGGGAAGCAGATCAAAGAGAGTTCTGCGTCTGGTAAAGTCCTTGTACCGAGAAGCCCATCGATACAAGGTGTCTGGCGGATCAAGATAATCGCTGAGGTGAGGACACAATGTTCGTGGTCCTTGGCTTGAGGGGAGGATTGTTATGGAACAATCCAAGTATCACATCGGAAATACAAGGGAAGGAACCCTTGTATATTAATGTCCACCAAGCTCATTAGTACGAGGCCTTTTGGGGAGGACACCCAAGAGTAAAACCGTGCGGGCTTGGCCCAAAGCGGACAATATCGTACTAATGGGCTACCCAGTTATGACATTCCGCAGTATAACTATCATAGAAACTGAACTTGGTAATTACAATCCGGCTTAACTGCAGTCTAGGGGGAACCATATCCGGGTGACCTCTCTTAACCTGAATACAACAGTTTACTTGCTTTGTTAGTTTGTTAGTGTAGACCTGCATTAAAGTTTCATTGCTAGATAACAAGAATTCACTGAGTAGTCATCAAATCTAGGACCCTGGTTGATAATTAAACCTAAACCCGCTATACTACGCTTTAGGAAGTGGTTCCACTTGGCCAAATCCTAGGGTGATAGTAGAAGTGAGTCACAAACCAACGAGATTGGGTGAAGTTGATGGACACGGCATAGTTCTCCTACAACTTGCACCACAGCGAGTCGACCAACAGGAGTCCATTTGAGTTGGCGACGGGGCAGCAACCTTTGACACCTACGACGGTGGCAACGGGGTATAGAGGCAACAGTCCGGCAGCCTACAAGTTCGCTAAAGGCTGACACGAGAAGATGGAGATGGCCAAGTCTTACTTATCCCGCGCTAGTAAGAAGATGAAGAAATGGGCGGACAAGAAGAGGAGGCACTTGGAGTTTGAAGAGGGAGACATGGTGATGGTGAAGTTCTACCCTCGTCGCTTCAAGCATCTCAAGCACGTGCACAAGGGACTGATTCGCCGCTATGAAGGGCCATTCCCCATCGTGAAGAGGATTGGCAAGGTGGCGTACAAGGTGGAGGTGTCGTCGCACTTGGAGATCCATCCGGTCTTTCATGTGAGCCAACTCAAGGCTTTCAACGAAGACAAGGAGGACGAGCAGCGAAGAGAGTCATATCACGCACCAACACTCATCACCAAGATACACGACCATGAAGTCGAAGATATCATGGCGCGTCGTGTCATTCCTTGTCGTGGCGTACATCCAAGCTTCGTGTAATACTTGGTCAAGTAGAGCAACCTTCCGGAGAGTGAAGCAACATGGGAGAAAGAGCTCACACTTTGGAAGAACAAGGACTTGATCGAGGCATTCCATCAAGAGGACGAGGCGAGGGCGTCGCGAGCATTGGTGGGGGAGGATGTCACATGTGGAAAATGACATGGCGCCAACAAGGTGACAACATTGCTAAATGATGGTCGAGCGCGAGACCAACTCTTCTTTTCTTAGAACTTGATAGAGCTCCTGCAAGAACCCTAATCGGCAATTTGGTCGAGCAAGTGAAGAATCAGATTGTTCGTATAAGTTTTCCTTTTTCTTTGTAAGTATATAATGAATGAGGGTTTTAATAACGAAAAACATTGTAAGCCAAACTATCGTTTTAACTGATAATACCACTGGGCTCAGGCCCACTTAACTGTCTTGGTAAGAAATTGGGTTGGGTTTACTTTTACCGGGTTGGCCCGCTTTCTTCTTCTTCTTCCTCTGATCTGGCTGATGCTGTTTGCTCTGCCAAGACTTCCTTGCGCCTGAACCACACTAACCAAAAGCAGAGTACCTGAATTAGCTTGAAACAGAAATCACACACACCCTGCACAGACCTTTTTACGTCGTATCCGATATTGGGAGAAGAAGGATCCCAATATCGACTAATCCACGGTAGGAACCTCTTCTTGAGGAATCCTACGTAACCACTAGAACACTATCCCTGTTCTGGTTTTACATATATGAGTTTAGATCAAACAGCTCCCTGCTTATCAATCCAACTACACTACTGAAGTATAACCTCCCCGATCACACTCAGTATCAATTGCTATTCTCCCTGATTAGCTTATCTAGTTTTTCACTCGAGAGCAACTCACAACTCAACACACAGCACTCTACTGTTGAATCTGTGAAAAACCTTAGCAAACCAGTTGGTTTCTTTCGTCCCTTTTATTGCATCTCTTCAAGCTAGCCATTGCAACGCATTGATCTTGATTTCCCACAAATCTGCTTTGGCTTTCCATTCCTGAAAACCTTCCATTTCAGTCTTGATTGATTTGTTGATTCTTTCCCATTGACGAGCTTCTCTCATTTCAGTCTTGATTGATTTGCTGATTCTTTCCCATTGACGAGCTTCTCTTAACATGCTCCCCCTAAGCTTGTCAATGGCTCTTCCTGCTAGAAGAGGAGGCTTCTTTTATTCAAATCAGTTAAAGTTCATCCATGGTATAACTACCAATTTCACATCAACAAACAAGCAAAGAGAGTGCAGACTCAAGGACTACAACGACCAACTCTCAACTCAACAAGAGTTTCTTAACTAGACAACTGAAGCTCCCCTTAAGCAAAATCGTCTGTCTCCTAGAAGCGGTAACCAGGAGGTGACTCGTAGTCCGAGATCTCATCCTCAGAACTTGAGTCAGATGAGATTAGATCAAAATCATCCGGAGCAGGCCTTGCCTCATCAAAGTCCATTAGTTCCAGTCGCTCTTTGCAGACCAGTAGGCTTGTAGTGTTCCCATTACCAGATTCTTTTCGACGCTTGACTTCCTCATTTATGGCTGAAGCTGCAGCTTGGGTTAAGGCTGGAAGCAGCCTGTCGGAAAGAGGATTGGCAGGGTTGGCATGGGAAAAGGCTGAGCAGCAGATCACTTCTCCCCCTGAGCCAGAGACGAGCTTACGTCGGCCCACATCAGCATCAAGGCGGACAAGGACATGATTGGGGCGCAAGTCATCATGGACATTGCAAACAGCCACCTTATCCCGGAGATCTATGGCAAGACGATACAAGTAACGAGTGATGAGGGGCCCAAAGGGTAGAGCACCATTGTAACAACCACCTCCAAACTTGAGGATGTGAGAGAACACCAAGGAGGCATAGCTAATGGATCTATGTGCACGAGCATTGCTCAGAATCCAGAGATTGTCAGAGTGGAGAAGACCAGCACTATCGACATCTCTGGGAAGGAAGCATCGAGTAATGAAAAAGTGAAGAACCTTTAGGTCGTCAGGGAGTCGACCAGCTGAGAGCCTATTAGGAAAGGCCTTGCCAATGTCCTGGGTCAGGTGATCAAGAGCAGCACAGAAGTTGAACCCATGGGCAACGAAGTCACTCTCATAACTGGCTTGAATTCCAGAGTGAGGAAGAGAGAGGACTGATGCAAGTAGGGCAGGAGAGACAGTGATTTCATGGTCATAGACCATAGTTATGAAGGAGAGTGGCTCAGGGCCATGATCACGACGAATATTCACGTAGAATAGTCTTACTGCCTCAGGACAATGGAGAAACCGTTGATCTTCAGTCAACGACTCCCACCCTAATCCAGCAATCAGGGAGGAGACATCCATGTCATATTTGGAAAAGGCTGAAGGAGAGATGGTGAAGGAGGGATAGATAGGCCTATCGCGGAAACAGCGAAGATATCGTGAGTGAACAATGGCGTTGCGAAAGCCTTGATTTTTGAAAACAACGACAGGGCGAAGCTAAGCATTGTTAAAGGCCATTGTTTTGAAACTGTGAGCGGTGGTGATTGTTTGCAAGGATGAGATGAAGGCCTAGAGATGCCTCAGGTTTATATAAGGCTGGAGGAAGGGTGATTTGGAGCAAGTGAATCAGTCACGGTAATATGCCAGCAGAAGATTGCTGATTTATCGTAATCGAGAGATGTAAAATTTTGAGGAAAGAATTAAGAGAAAATCGAGGAGTCACAGAATCCTAAGAGATTTCTCCTATTTCTTCTAGGGTAAACATTCCTAGCTCTCGACGAATAGGCAGAAATTTGTCAACAGGCAGTGGTTTAGTGAAAATATCTGCCTATTGAGAATCAGTCCCTAAGAATTCTAAGTGAATTTTGCCTTCTTGAACTAATTCTCGTATAAAGTGATAGCGAACCTCTATATGTTTAGTACGAGAATGTTGAATTGGGTTTTTGGTCATATTTATAGCGCTTGTGTTGTCACATAGGATGGGGAGGGACCCTAATGAGAGGCCATAATCCTCAAGTTGGGATTTCATCCAAAGTACTTGAGTGCAACAAAAGCCAGCAGCAATATACTCAGCTTCTGCTGTGGATAATGCTACGGAACTCTGTTTCTTGCTAAACCAAGAAACTAGAGATGAACCTAAGAAATGACAGGCACCAGAGGTGCTTTTCATGTCAAGGACACATCCTGCATAGTCTGAGTCACTATAGCTAATCAAGCTTAGGCTTGAAGAACTAGAGTACCAAAGCCCTAGAGTAGGAGTCCCAACCAGATAACGGAAAATCCGTTTGATGGCTGAGAGATGGCTATCCTTGGGATTGCTATGAAATCGAGCACATACACAAACACTATACATAATATCAGGGTGGCTAGCAGTGAGATACAGCAATGAACCAATCATGCCACGAAACTTTTTACAATCTACTGAGTTTCCAGTTTCATCATGTGTAAGTTTGACATTAGTTCCCATTGGTGTGGAGGCAGATTTTAAGTTTCTGAGCTCAAATTTTGTTAACATATTCTGCAAGTATTTGGTTTGACTTAAGAAGATTCCCTGACTTGTTTGCTTGACTTGCAAGCCAAGAAAATAAGTTAGTTCTCCCATAAGGCTCATCTCAAAAGCAGTTTTCATATCATTTTCAAATTCTGAGCATAATTTTTGACTAGTGGAGCCAAATATTATGTCATCAACGTATACTTGAACCAGGAGGGTGTGTTCATTTTCATTTTTGATGAACAAGGTTTTGTCCACCTGTCCACGATGAAAACCTTTTTCAATTAAGAAGTTGCTCAGTTTTTCATACCAGGCTCTGGGAGCCTGCTTAAGGCCATATAGTGCATTGTTAAGCTTATAAACATGATTTGGGTATTTATAGTCCTCAAACCCAGGGGGTTGAGAGACATACACTTCTTCCTTATTTCCCCATTCAAAAAGGCGCTTTTAACGTCCATTTGGTACAATTTGAAGCCTCAAGAGGCTGCATATGCACATAGCAGTCGAATGGCTTCTAGCCTAGCCACAGGAGCGAAGGTTTCATCAAAGTCTATCCCTTCTTCCTGACAGTAGCCTTGAGCTACTAGCCTGGCTTTATTTCTAACTATAAACCCTAATTCATCAGTTTTATTTCGAAAAACCCATTTTGTTCCAATAATTATTCTATCCTTAGGCCTAGGAACTAAGTCCCACACATGAGTTCTAGCAAACTGGTTCATTTCATCATGCATTGCTGCTGACCAGTATTCATCTTTTATAGCCTCTTCAATGTTTTTAGGTTCAAACTGAGCTACAAATGCAGTATGATCTGTGTGAGACTTGGATCGAGTGATCATACCTCTGCTTAGCCCACCAATCATGAGGGATGGAGGATGACGTCTTACAATCTGTGGTGGTGTCTGAGGGTTGTGATCCTTTTCATCTTCACTATTGTTGTCCACAGGTGGTGCAACTTCAGTTTCTTGATTATCTTGAGTATTTTGACTCGTGTGCGCAGTTCCTAACCCCAGATCATCATCTTCATCAATACTATCTGCACATGCTCCACAAGCCTCATCAAATATCACGTGAACGGACTCCTCAACCTTGAGGGTCCGTTTGTTAAAGATACGATATGCTCTACTGTTTACAGCATACCCCAGAAATATTGATTCATCTGATTTTGAATCAAACTTTCCCAGATGATCTTTTGTGTTCAATGCAAAACATTTACATCCAAAGGGGTGAAAATAACTTAAATTTGGTTTTCTATCCTTCCAAAGTTCATAAGGTGTTTTGTTTATTTTAGATCTGATAAGAGCTCTGTTTGTTACATAGCAAGCTGTGTTAATGGCTTCTCCCCAGAATTGTTTAGCAGTTCCATAGTCATTCAGCATGGTCCTAGCTATGTCAATTAGTGTCCTATTCTTTCTTTCTACCACACCGTTCTGTTGAGGAGTCCTAGGTGCTGAAAAGTTGTGAGTAATACCCTTCTTATTACAGAAAAGTTCAAATTTTTCATATATAAACTCACCTCCATGATCACTTCTTATACTCCCAATTTTAGACTGTTTTTCATTTTCGACTCATTTAACAAAATCCTTGAAATTTTGATAAGCTTCATCCTTTGTGGTAAGGAATAATACCCATGTAAATCTTGAGTAATCATCTACTATCACAAAGGCATAGTACTTACCACCTAGAGTCATAACATTGCTAGGTCCAAAAAGGTCCAAATGTAGTAATTCTAGAGGTCTAGTAGTAGAAATCACTGTTTTAGTTTTAAAAGAACTTCTGCTATGTTTTCCCTTTGCACAGGCATCGCAAAAGAAATCCTTTTTACTTTGAAGTTTTGGAATCCCCCTAACAATATCTAAGTTTACTAATCTTGATAGAATCCCAATGCTTACATGTCCTAGTCTTCTATGCCATTCAAATTGATCATCCTTGTTTACAGAAACTAGGCAGGTTTCATTAAAAGCAGACTTATCTTCAAGGTCTATTGAAAAAAGTTTTCCTTTACGTTTTCCTGTTAAAATAAGTTTGTGACTTATAGTGTTTTCAACAAAGCACTGATTCTTTTCAAAGACAACTCTGTTTTCGTCTCCACACAATTGACCAATTGAAAAGAGGTTATGTTTAAGGTCTTTAACTAGCAACACATTACTAATTGATGGAGATGTCCCTACTGTACCTTTCCCTAGGATTTCAGTGCTGAAATTGTCACCAAAGTATACTTTTCCATTGTTTTCTAGATTTAGTTTTGAAAAGAGGTTTTTATTACCCGTCATGTGGTGTGAGCATCCACTATCTAGTATCCAAACGCTGCCTTCCATGCTCATTTGAAGACAGGTCTGCAAGAACTTACAATCATTTAATTTTAGGTAACCAAACTAGTTTAGTTACTCTTCTGATATGAGATGAGTTGATTGAATGTTGATTGTAATCTCAGTTTTCATGCCAAGACTGTTTCACTCTGTTTTCTTTTGTCATCCTTCTTATACAGTTAGCTATGTAGTGCCCAGTTCTGTGACAATAAAAGCACTCGTGATGATTGTAAGTTTCTGATTTCCTTACAAATTTAGTTTTTGCCATAGCTCTAGTCTTTGTCTTTTCTAACTAAGCTCTAGTAACTCTTATTTTCTCTTTTAATCTGCAGTTGTCTTGCATCAGCTCTTGAACTTTGTTTTCGACACTTAGTTTTTCACACATTAGTTTATCAAATTCATTTTGCAGCTTATCATGATTTACTTTGATTGAGAGATACTTATTCTTTACATTGACACATTCATTCTGAATATCCCTAATGGTCTCATCTAGTAATTCATCACAATCACTATCATAGTCAGAGTAGTAGGTTGTTACCTGAGAGTTTCCTTCCTCGCAGTCATCCATTGCCATGTAAGCACTGTACTTGTGATTTGCTTCATCCTCTTCTTCTTCTTCTTCACTGCAGCTCCAGGTGGCTGCAAATGCCTTCTCTTTCTTGGCTAGTGGGCATTCTGCTTTGATGTGCCCTGGTTTGCCGCATCTGAAACAGCCAGCTTGAGTCTGGACCCTTTCATTGCTTACTCCTTCTCTTCGATTCCTGAATCCTTGTCGTCCTCCTTTGTTATTTTCTTTTTCAATTTCTCCATCTCTCGATCGATTTGAGAATCCTCCTCTCTTCTTCTCTCTTCTGATTTTGAGCAGCTTGGCAACGTGCTTGCTCAGCATTGCAAGCTCATCGTCCTCCATTTCATCCAGGCAGTCCAGATCATCTTCTTGGGTTGTAGCCTTGAAAGCTATGCTCTTCTTTTCCTTTCTTGGTTCTTCCATATCTTCTTTCCTTAGCTTGTCTTCATGCGTGATGAGAGACCCGATTAATTCATCCAAGCTTAACTTAGTGAGGTCTTTAGATTCCTCAATCGCAGTGACCTTAGGTGTCCATTTCTTAGGCAAGGCCCAGAGTACCTTTCGTACTAGGTATGCACTTGCGTATTCCACCTCCAAGTTTCTCAAGCTGTTGACTATCGTCGTGAAGCGGTCATTCATCTCTTTAATCGATTCATCTGGCTTCATGATGAATGATTCGAACTCCTGCTTGAGACTGTTGATTCTTGACACTTTGACATGAGATGTACCCTCATGTGCAATCTGCAATTTATCCCAGATCTCTTTTGCAGATTTGCACCCGGTCACTCTGTGGTACTCTTCTGGTCCCATCGCACAATACATTAGATTCGTCACCTTCGAGTTAAGCTGAAAATTCCTCTTGTCGGTCTCTGTCCAATTTCCACGAGCCTCCTTCACTTCCAAGGGACCATCTAGAACGATGTTCCAGAGATCCGGATTAGTTGATCCTATGAAGAGCTCCATCCGGTTTCTCCAGTATCCGTAGTGCACGCCTTCGAACCTGGGAGGTCGAGTTTGTGAGAATCCATCGGCCATGAAGATTGATCCCGAGCTCATTGTCTCCGAAGACGGTTGCGCCTTGTATTCCGGAGCCGGGCTCTGATACCACGTGCTAAATGATGGTCGAGCGCGAGACCAACTCTTCTTTTCTTAGAACTTGATAGAGCTCCTGCAAGAACCCTAATCGGCAATTTG